GGTTTGTTCTGCTGTGAGAGGGCACAAGTTAATCTCATTAATATAAAATCCGTTAAATCCGATTTAAGGTGAATTACAGTGAATGTTTTCTGCTCTTAGAGTCAGAGAAGAGACCTGGAATAGATTATACAGTATGACTTCGGGTTTGTGCTATGTGTTACCTGTGTGAGTGTGAGAGAGAGATTTATAGTGTTTTAACAGAAAAACACCATCTGATGATCCCATGATTTGCTGAAAGACGGCTCTGTGTCTAGGGTTGTCAACTTCAGAAAAGAAAAATAAGGGACAATCGTGGTTCTTTATAGGAAAATAAGGGACACACACACACAATGTTTGTACTGTAACACATAGTGAGTGTCATTTCAGTGTTTGGTAAGTTAAGTGCTCAACCAGTCAAAAGTTTTTGAACAGTAAGATTTTTAATGTTTTTTTTTAATAAGTCTCTTCTGCTCACCAAGCCTGCATTTATTTGATCCAAAGTACAGCAAAAGCAGTAATATTGTGATTTTTTTTTTTACTATTTAAAATAACTGCTTTCTATTTGAATATATTTTAAAAAGTTATTTATTCCTGTGACCAAAGCTGTTTTTTTCAGCATCATTACTCCAGTCTTCAGTGTCACATCCTTCAGAAATAATTATAATTACACTATAACATTCAAAAGCTTGGAGTCAGTACTTTTATTTAGCAAGGATGCTTTCAATTGATCAAAAGTGATATGATTAAGACATTAATGTTACAAAAGATTTCTATTTCAGATCAATTCTATTCATCAAAGAAACCTGAAAAAAAATCTACCCAGCTGTTTTCAACATAATAATAATGATAATAATAATGTTTTTTTAAGCAGCAAATCAGCATATTATAATAATTTCTGAAGAATTATGTGAAAACTGGAGTAATGATGCTGGAAATTCAGCTTTGATCACAGGAATAAATGACATTTTCAAATATATTCAAATAGAAAGCAGTTATTTTAAATAGTAAAATATTTCACAATATTACAGCTTTTGCTGTATTTTGGATCAAATAAATGCAGGCTTGGTGAGCAGAAGATAATTATTTAAAAAAACATAAAATCTTACTGTTCAAAAACTTTTAACTGGTAGTGTGTGTGTATAAAGGATGTCTAAAAGGTTCTCAGACATAAAAACATTTCTTTTGCTTAACCTATTTATGTACAATTTAATTCTAAAATAGAATTGTAATGTCATACAAAAAAAAATAAAAAAAGTCACACACAATATACACAAACCATTGGCTAGAGCAAATTGTACCACTTTAGAATTGTGACTGTACCAGTTGTGTAGTAACTTGTATAATAGCGACATCAACACAATTAAAATATCATCAACCCCTCTTTTTTTTTTAAAGATACAGATAGAAACACACATATGGCATAAAGTATTAAACCATAACAACTGAATGTCTATGAAAGTCAGTCAATAAAGCATTTTTTATAAAAGCAATGGCACTTAAAATTTTGAACTAAAATTTTGTTACTTGCAACATGAATGAATGAAAATGCATATTTTTCAATTTAAGAGAACTTAAAGAATTAGTACTGGCTGCTTTCGAGACTTTTTTGGTCATACTTCACCCTATCTGTGTCTGTACTTTTTTCACTATTCTTGAGGGTCACATTTCTGAAGATGCCCTCACAAATCTACAGAAAGTTTTTGGACAGTTAAATCATGTTTGAAAACCACTGCAATGTATTTCAAAGAAAGACAGAAGAGCACACTTTTCAAGCAAACATTTCACAAAAAGAAGTTTTAAATGTTGGATTCGATGTCAGATTTTAATATTCAAAATCCAGAAAGTTCATCTTGAATAAGATGAATGACACCTAGCTGAACTCTTAATATATCCACTTAAAATCACAAAAGCGTCTGTTAAAGTCATGAGCAGCAGAGACAAGATCCTGCAGCATTTTTGCCCTTTGCACCAGATAGGAAGCGAGTAGAATAAATTGCTGCTCTATTTTTCAAGTGTTCAGCTTAACAGTGGTTATATTGTGCTGTAATCTCCTCCTAAGATCACAAGCTTTAGTGTGATGCATCAGGACTCATGCAGATGGCAGTAAATATCGGTGTGAATGATAACTCTGTTCTGTAATCCTCAGTGAGAGATTACCGGACTAAACAAGGCACTTTGTTTTTCAAGTGCATGTTTTAATTTGGTCATTAAGCGCTGTCGAGAGTGTGCTTCTGTGGAGAGAGTCAGCTGCTGCGGCGCACAAAAGACAGATTAGAGCGGTGTGCAGAGACACAAACGTGACTCTTGGACTGATCCTCTGTTAATCTGTCTGAAGAGGCTGAGACGGGCGGCAGTGAATGGGGTCCTGAGACCAGGTGAAGGGGGTCTCTCTCTTTCCCTCTGCGGTTTATGGTTCTCTCTGAATATGTTTTATTGTCTGCTGAGGATGTTAATAGAAATAAGACACTCAAGGTTGTGTGCTACAGTCATTTTGTCAATGGTGTTGTTAGCCTATAACATTTATTTCTTTACAGTAAGCGGCACTTGGTTTGATATTTTGTTTTCTAATGCAATTCAAATATCTGTTTTATAGAATTACATTTTAGCATTCAGCAGCCGTTTTTTATCCAAGTCGACTTATAAGTGAGCAACACTTTAAATGGTGGAAGCGCATTGAGAGACTGCAGATTATGCTGATCAGTTGAATTATGTTTATTGTCAGTTATTTTAGTAAAATATTTCACAATATTACAGCTTTTGCTGTATTTTGGATCAAATAAATGCAGGCTTGGTGAGCAGAAGATAATTATTTAAAAAAACATAAAATCTTACTGTTCAAAAACTTTTAACTGGTAGTGTGTGTGTATAAAGGATGTCTAAAAGGTTCTCAGACATAAAAACATTTCTTTTGCTTAACCTATTTATGTACAATTTAATTCTAAAATAGAATTGTAATGTCATACAAAAAAAAATAAAAAAAGTCACACACAATATACACAAACCATTGGCTAGAGCAAATTGTACCACTTTAGAATTGTGACTGTACCAGTTGTGTAGTAACTTGTATAATAGCGACATCAACACAATTAAAATATCATCAACCCCTCTTTTTTTTTTAAAGATACAGATAGAAACACACATATGGCATAAAGTATTAAACCATAACAACTGAATGTCTATGAAAGTCAGTCAATAAAGCATTTTTTATAAAAGCAATGGCACTTAAAATTTTGAACTAAAATTTTGTTACTTGCAACATGAATGAATGAAAATGCATATTTTTCAATTTAAGAGAACTTAAAGAATTAGTACTGGCTGCTTTCGAGACTTTTTTGGTCATACTTCACCCTATCTGTGTCTGTACTTTTTTCACTATTCTTGAGGGTCACATTTCTGAAGATGCCCTCACAAATCTACAGAAAGTTTTTGGACAGTTAAATCATGTTTGAAAACCACTGCAATGTATTTCAAAGAAAGACAGAAGAGCACACTTTTCAAGCAAACATTTCACAAAAAGAAGTTTTAAATGTTGGATTCGATGTCAGATTTTAATATTCAAAATCCAGAAAGTTCATCTTGAATAAGATGAATGACACCTAGCTGAACTCTTAATATATCCACTTAAAATCACAAAAGCGTCTGTTAAAGTCATGAGCAGCAGAGACAAGATCCTGCAGCATTTTTGCCCTTTGCACCAGATAGGAAGCGAGTAGAATAAATTGCTGCTCTATTTTTCAAGTGTTCAGCTTAACAGTGGTTATATTGTGCTGTAATCTCCTCCTAAGATCACAAGCTTTAGTGTGATGCATCAGGACTCATGCAGATGGCAGTAAATATCGGCGTGAATGATAACTCTGTTCTGTAATCCTCAGTGAGAGATTACCGGACTAAACAAGGCACTTTGTTTTTCAAGTGCATGTTTTAATTTGGTCATTAAGCGCTGTCGAGAGTGTGCTTCTGTGGAGAGAGTCAGCTGCTGCGGCGCACAAAAGACAGATTAGAGCGGTGTGCAGAGACACAAACGTGACTCTTGGACTGATCCTCTGTTAATCTGTCTGAAGAGGCTGAGACGGGCGGCAGTGAATGGGGTCCTGAGACCAGGTGAAGGGGGTCTCTCTCTTTCCCTCTGCGGTTTATGGTTCTCTCTGAATATGTTTTATTGTCTGCTGAGGATGTTAATAGAAATAAGACACTCAAGGTTGTGTGCTACAGTCATTTTGTCAATGGTGTTGTTAGCCTATAACATTTATTTCTTTACAGTAAGCGGCACTTGGTTTGATATTTTGTTTTCTAATGCAATTCAAATATCTGTTTTATAGAATTACATTTTAGCATTCAGCAGCCGTTTTTTATCCAAGTCGACTTATAAGTGAGCAACACTTTAAATGGTGGAAGCGCATTGAGAGACTGCAGATTATGCTGATCAGTTGAATTATGTTTATTGTAAGAACTGTTGCATTGTTGATGACAGGTGCTTCTCAATCTTTACTTATAAAGCCTACTGTATCATATTCGATATGCACATTTCTAAGGCCTCTAAAATATCGACACGATCAAAACTTTGCGGAAAAACCTGTTGTAAACAACCTTAATACATGCCTTCTGCCGTCTGATTGGTAGTTTCTACTTTTTTAGCGAGTAAACAAGCTTTTAATATAATTGTGAAACTGTCAGGTTCTGATTTTTATAAAGTAAACATGAGAATAACTGTTGTATTGTCAGTAAAAATGTAAGATGAACACTTGCTGATCTGAAGCAACGTAGGTTTACTTAATTCAATCATGACAACTCTCTGAACATTTTAGCATGGTGATGGATATGACAATGTTAATGTATTTGGTATTGGCTGAACAGATCTGCTACGCTGCTGCTGAATTGCTGCTGCTGTTGGTTATTGCGGTAGCTGTAGATTATTGCTGCTGCTGCAAGCAAGTGCAGGAACTTGCTACTACCAATGCATATGGCGATATGGTGCCATGAGTATTTAAGACATACGGCTGCTGCACAAATAGCATATAAAATAACTCCGTAGCAGATCTATACAGGTGGAGCTGGGGAAGGTGGAGGGTTTCAGAGGAACTCTGAAAGCGCACTGCAGGAATCTCAAGTGAATGCTAGCCAGCCATATAAATGCAAGGCAGTAAGCTCATTGGCTGCATATGCAGCATGAACCAATCAGCTTGTGCCAAGTCGTTTAACTCTCTGAATATCATCAGTTAACACCCCGTCAGCCTGCGCCATCTAGAGTTTCATGACTAAACTATATAT